ACTGTTTTTTCATGCTCTAGCTTTCTTTTTCTGGAAAGTAGTTCTTTCATGAACTTTGCATATGAAGGCATTTGCTCCAAAGCTTCTGCAAAAGGAATGTTAATTTGTAATTTCTTAAAGACATTCATAAACCTTTCAAATTGTTCCTTTTGTTTAGGATTTTGGACTCTCTGAGGATAGGGCAGCCTCTTGTATTTTTCTGGGTCTATTGGCTTACAAGCTTCCTCAAAGAGTTGCTTTTTGGTTTTCCTTTCAGAATTCATAGGAACATCTACTTTTTCTTCTGAATGGTCTTTCTTCAATAGCTTAAAATTTCCTTGTTGCAGATCTTGTTCAATGTTTCTTTCTGCTGCATCATTCACTTTCTTTTCTACTGGTTTAGGGCTTGCAACTACAGCTCCACTCCTTGTAGTTATGGCTTGACATTGCTCTTTAGGATTGATTACTGTATTGCTTGGAAATCTTCCTTCATCCCTGCTGGATAGTTGTTCAGCTAATTGTCCAATCTGTGTCTCTAGTTTCTTCATGGAAGCTTCTTGGTTTTTGAAGCTTGTTTGAGTCACCTTCATGAATTGCAGCATAGTTTCTTCCATCTCAGTCAACCTCTCATTCATAGGTTTGGAAAATTTTTGATTTCCTTGAGGTTGAGTGGATGAATTCCTCTGAAAATAAGGCTGTTGTGTTGCTGGACCTGCATTAGAAAAAGGAAAATTTGAGTTAGAATTCTTTCCAGCAGAATATTGATTATTCCAATTAGAATACTGCTGAGTTCTATTATTCAAAAATTGAAATCCAGGGGGATATGATGGCTGTTGTCTCTGAAAATTATTCATATAATTCACTTGCTCTTGTGGTTCACTTGTGGATGCCTCACATGCACCATTTGCATGGTTTCCTCCACAAAAATCACAACTTAGCTGACTGGTAGGCATACTCCCTGTTTGCAGATTGTTGATTTGTTGTGTTAAGGCAGCTAATTGTTCTGAAAACATTTGATTTTGTAGCTGATTTTGTGCAAGAAAAGTTTCCAGAACCTTAGCTTCATGACCAGAGTTTCTTCCTTGATTCCTTGAGTTTGAATTCTGATACATTGAAGATGCCATCATGTCAATAATCCTCTGAGCTTCTTCCAAGGACTTTGTATTTAATGAACCTCCAACAGCAGCATCAACCATTGTTCTTGTTACTGCATTCATCCCATTATAAAAAGTTTCCAATTGCATCCAATCTTGAATACAATGATGTGGACATCTTCTTAGCAATTCTTTGCATCTTTCCCAAGCTTCATACAATGATTCTCCATCTTGCTAAACAAAGGATGTAATTTCTCCTCTCAGCTTAGCAGCTTTGGATGGAGGGAAGTACTTGGTTAGAAACCTGTTCACAAGTTCTGTCCAGGTTGTAATGCTTCCTTGTGGTTGAGCTTGTAACCAGCATTTTGCTCTACCTCTCAAGGAAAAAGGAAATAGTCTCAGTCTGATGGCTTCTTCACTAACCCCATTTATTCTTATGGTGTCACATAGTTGTAGAAAATTTGAAATATGTAGGTTAGGATCATCAGAATTTCTACCAGAAAATTGATCTTATTGGACTAAGTGTAATAAAGCAAGTTTAATCTCAAAATGGTTGGCTTGAATAGTTGGCCTGATTATAGAAGAGTTAAAACCTTGCATGTTAGGAATTGCATAGTCCCCTAATGTTCTAATTCTATTTTGTTCTGCCATCTCTATTTCTGAATTTAGTTGTCTCAAAGATGTAGGTGTTCTTTTCACTCTAGGATTGTTCTGAAATTCTAGAGAATGGACAGCTTCTAATTCACTATCACTCCCTATGACTTTTTCTGCTCTAGACTCTTTTCTCAATCTCCTTAAGGTTATGTCTATGTCAGGATCAAAGACTAGAGTTGATTTGTTTTTGTTTTTGCCACGCATATACAAATCAAAATGAAGCAAAAGTAAACTACAAGTTAGTATTCAGAACTGCACCACGAAAATTATGCAGCAAATATCAGTAAAAGTAATTGAAACACAAGTTTAAAAGTTGCAGAATTATGCAGAATGGACAAAATGTCTAACTACAGACTAATACTACAGAAATTCAGAGAAACAAAATACTCAATCTAGCTATTCTTATGTTACTAATGATATTGAAACTCTAATTCCCTGGCAACGGCGCCAAAAACTTGTTGTTTGCAATCTAAACACTAGCAAGTGCACTAAGATTGCAGCAAGTAATGAGTAAATTTAAGATCCGAGTATCGTCTCCACAGGGAATTAGGAACTCAATTATCACTTCACAGAAAAATAACCATTTGAGCCATACGAATTTGGGAAGAGAGTTGTATCATATAAAAGCAATAATCAGAGCAATCAAAAGTAAAGAACTTGCAGAAAAATAGAGTATAAGATTTGTGATGAAATGAAATAGCAATGAAGGATAGTTAGGAATTTACTTCACAAGAATATCAATATCAATCCAATTAAATCCTCTGAACATTCAAGCAATTGAATAATTGACAATCAGTTTCACATATACCTAGCCAAAGGTTAATTCCTTAACTCATTGACCCTAACAATCCACTAAACCTCCCTAATCCCTTAGGTGAGATTCAATTTCAGGTTGCATTAAGAATTAGAACTATAAGATTGCAGAATTAGGTCTCCTTATCCCTAAGAAATCCCTAAACTCTGGTTGCCAATTCAGATCGGAGCAAACAATCCAATTCCCATTGGTAAAGATTCCTCTTGATTAATCAAATGAATTTCCATTCAAAGATTGCATGAAAAGCAGAATTAACAACTCAATTAATCCAAGAACTTAAAGTTCAGAAGATAAAGTCGAATCAATACATCAATTCGAGTTCCATAAACCCCTAACTATGAGAAATTAAGCACACATTGCAACAAAAACAGAGAAAGAAGAAGAAGAAGATGAAGAAGAATGCAGAGCAGCCATGGCCACAAGCTCCAATCCGATCCCTCTTCTTGGAGCTTCAAGCTTCGACCCCAATCTTCTCTCCACTCTCTCTCAACGAGAATCTAACTAACAAAACAGAAAATGAGCAAAAGACCCCAGTTTTCGCACTTCAATCATGTATATATAGAAACCCCAGTTCTGCGCGTTGTCACTTTTCTTCACAAGAGTAACCACGCAGAAGCTTTATGTAATGCGCGTGTTCACTTTCAAGAGTAAGAGTAACCACGCGCAACTTGCAGAGTTGAAGGCTTCTCTGGAACATTCACTTTAATTCATAAGAGTGGCAACGCAGGAGGTCGAGGGCTGCGCGTGATCACTTTCGTGAGTAATAGTAACCACGCGCAAGCTGTCCTGATACAAGTGCCTCTGGAACGCTCACTTTCGTTGGCGAAAGTGATAATGCGCAGTTCATCAGGAATGGAGTCTTCTCTGGAACGCTCACTTTCGTTGACGAAAGTGATAACGTACACTGGCAACACTCACTCTTGTAAATAAAAGTGATTACGCACAGGCTCTTCTTCTCCTTTAGGCTCTGAAATGATCACTTTCGCTAACAATAGTGATCACGCCCAGGCTGCATCCCATAATTCTTGTATTTTGGAGTCCAACATTGCCATTCTTCCTCTTCCTTTCCATTGATAATCCATTTCTATGACTTTTGCTCAGATTATTCCTTCAAAAACAAGATAAATTCCTTAAGAACTAAGCATAAATTCTACAAATGTGAAAATAACTACAAATTGAAATAAAACTTTCAATCATTCTCTTTTTCTGAGTTTTTCTGCTTTCTTCATATATTTTCCTTATTAAATGAGCTAGAATTATGCTAAACTATCAGTAAAAATATGGATTCATCATTCTTCTACTAAATAGACTTCACAAATGGACCCCTCTATCTTGGCCTTGTTCTTCACTTTTTCTTTCACAGATCACAAGAACCTAAATTTCATGCATTGTAATTTATTAAAACATTTAGTAATAAAGATAAACAAAAATATCTTTATATTAAGATGTTTTAAAAATTTATACCTCTCAAATGGATACATCCAACGATATTGAACTGGACCACCAACTTGTGCTTCATAGGGCAAGTGAATTGGAAGATGTTCCATCAAATCAAAAAAAGTTGGCAAAAATTTTGTTCCAACTTACACAATAACATAGGAATAACACGTTCCATATCTATTAACTTGTCTATGTGCAGTGTAGTGCAAGTCAATTCTCTAAAAAAGTGGCTAAGTTCAACAAGTGGTTTACAAATAGTGTTTGGTAGACTATCAAATGCAATGGGAAGTAATCACTGCATGAATACATGACAATCGTGACTTTTCATTCCATGAAACTTTGCTTCTTTAATATCAACACATCTACCTAAATTTGATGCATAACCCATCTAAAAAATTAAGTTGTTTAATCCACTGACATACACTTATTCTTTATGACTTGGTTAAAACATATTTAGCTTTTGGTTTAATAAATTAGCCACCTCCAACATCTTTTAATTCAAGATCCTTCCTTTTGCATAATTTTGCTAAATCTAATCTTCCATTCACTACATCTTTCGTCTTACCCTTAATATCCATAACAGTGTCAAACACATTCATAAACACATTTCTCTCAGTATGCATGACATCAATGTTATGACAAAGAAGATGTGCTTTCCAATAAGGCAACTTCCAAAATATACTTTTTTTAGTCCAATTATGATGTTTACCAAACTCAGGTAACTTCCTCCCTTAAGACTCCCATATGAATGGCAAGTGTGAAATTCTCTTCCAAATTTCTTCTCCACACAAACGAGGAGGCAGAGAAGACATCTTAACACAACGCCTCTTGAAAGTATTTTTATTCCTCCTATATGAATGATCATTTGGAAGAAATTGACGGTGACAATCAAAGAATGTGTTCTTATAGCTATGATTTAAATGACTTGCCTTTGTATGTTCCATACATATTAGGCAAGCAAGTCTACCTGCAGTTGACCAACCTGATAACATATCATAAGCTGGAAAGTCATTAATTGTCTACATTAAAGCTGCTTTCATGTTAAAATTTTGTCTTAATGATATATCATAGGTTAGAATGCCATTATTCCACAAACTTGTCAATTCTTCTATGAGAGGTTGCATGTACACATCAATCTTGCTTTTGGGATTTGTTGGACCAGGAATGAGGATTGTAAGAAACATAAACTCTCTTTTCATGCACATCCCAGGTGGAAGATTATATGGTGTTAGAATGATTGGCCAACATGAGTAAGCTTTACCATATTGTCCAAAAGGATTAAACCTATCTGCACATAATCCCAATCTAACATTTCGAGGATCTTCAGCAAATTTAGGATACATGATATCAAAATGCTTCCAAGCTTCTCCATCTGCTAGATGACACAACACACAAGGATCCCTGTGATTCTCACGGTGCCATCTCATGTGTGATGAAGTAGCCATTGAAGAGTACAATCTTTGAAGTCTTGGAGTTATTGGGAAATACCATATTCTTTTAATAGGGACTTTTTTTTTAATACCCCTTCTACAAGTTATTTTATATCGATCCTTGTGGCAATATTTGCAAGTTGTAACATTATCATCTTCATCAGTATTACAAAACAACATGCATCCATCTTGACAACAATCAATCTTTATACAACTCAATCCCAAATTCGCAACTGATTTCTTAGCACGATAAAGATTTGAAGCCATTAGATTTCCATTTGGCATGGCTTCACCCATAAATTGAACCATACGATTAAAACATCCTTCTGACATGTTGTAGTCAAATTTTAAACTTAGAGTAACTAAAGAAGCTAATAATTTTGAGTGAGTATGACATCCATCCCATAACGGAGCTTGTGCACTTGCCAACATGTCATAGAATTTTTGAGCATCTGAATTTGGATCTTCTTCAAAGTTTTGTTCTCTTAGTACAGGTTGTTGTTCCATAACTTGACCAACTTCGGGACCAACATGATCCATGATCATTTGCTCATATGGGTTGAATTCTTCCCTTTGGTTATTCATACCATAATATGATTCTTCCACCAAAGTAGGTGGGGTTGGTAGCATTCTCTCACCATGATTTGTCCAGTAGTAATAATTTTTCATGAATCCCTGTTCATAAAGATGTACCATAACATCATCCACATAATGGAACCTTCTACATTGACATTTCTTACAAGGACACCTTAATTGTTGATACTTTTGGAAGCTTTGTTGTGTAGTTGCAAACTCAATAAATTCATTAACTCCTTTAACAAACTCGTGTCTCAAATGCCTATTATGATCCAACCTAGTCTCCATCCATCTTCGATTCTCAGGAATTTCCATTACTGCTAACTATAACAAATGAAAAATAGAGTTTGTAATCACATCCTATTAAGCATTGCTCTCTACTAACAAACTATGATTTAATCTATCAAAGAGATGCATAATTATAAATTACTTAGCATACAACCAGTATCCTGCATTAAATCAAGCAGAATTACACCCTATTGAGCATTGCTCTCCACTAACAAACAATGATTTAATACATCAAAGACATGCATAATTATAAATTACTCAGCATACAACCAGCATCCTGCATTAAGTCAAGCAGGATCACACCCTATTGAGCATTGCTCTCCACTAACAAACAATGATTTAATACATCAAAGATATGCATAATTATAAATTACTCAGCATACAACCAGCATCCTGTATTAAGTCAAGCAGGATCACACCCTATTGAGCATTGCTCTCCACTAACATACAATGTTGTACTTTAATACCTGAACCTTATGCCTCAGTTGTGTAATGTCAAAACTCTTTTAAAGGTCTTTGTCTATTGCCTCCTTATTAATGTCTTTAATTTATGTCTGTTAAAAGTAATAAAATTAAAAGCCAATAACTATAAAGAATAAACAAAATGATAAGAATAAACAAAATGCTTGTTCAAAACTGAAGCAAAGAGTGACATTGAAATCCTTATTTTTCTTTTTCTGCAAGTTCAAAACTTGAGCAAAGAGTGACATTGAAATGCAAGTAAATAGTATTTCTTACAAGAAAATAGTATTTCTTTTTTATTTCATAGATGTTGGTATCAAAATGAATTCATTGGTTATCAACATTAAATATTGATTTCAACTGGAGAACATTGTTAATCTCACTAAAAAAATATCATGTAATAATGGTATAATATTTATTTTTAAAAAAAATTAAAATTATGATATAGACTTTCTGTGCATTATTTGTAATGCATGATATTGTTAATATATGTACTAATAATATCTATTACAATAGTTTAATTTTCATTTATATAAAGGTTATACCAACAAATACAATTTTAAGATTCATTCTTTCTTTACAGGGCATTGAAAGAGTTCTGAAAAGGTTTGGAAGCAACATTATATTCTTTAACGGTTTAAGAAACCCTTAGAGCGGTGGAGGGTATAATCTTATAATTTCACAATTATATAAAAGGGTATAATCTTTACAATATCTCATACTTTTTATTCCTGTTTTCTCTGTTTATTTGTGTGTTTTATGAGCAGAAGCTCACATGTAGACCTAAGGTTCTCAACCAAGGAAGATCCAGAGTGGTTAAAGGATGTAAGGAAACAAGAGATAAAGATCATAGCAAGATGGATCTCACAATATTATGAAGACATAAAAATGAAATAAGGTTTTTATTCCTGACGTTATTTGACCTTGGAAATTCGTGAACCAATATATTCCTTTTTCAATGTCATTGGGAAGATATTGAAGATTTGTTCGGGATTAATGAGGACCAAATACTCAAAACCAGGATGGGTAGCCCAAAACATGGAGCTGACATTTAAATAAATAAACAAATAGGAAATCAATGTCGGATCCCAGCTATCCGAAAAATGCAAACTGAAGCGGAGGATTACAAAAAAATACAACACACAAAAGGGGCAAACCAAGCGCTTGTGCGTAGGAAGAAGTGAATCAACCAGAATGGCGACAGGGAGGAGAGGCAAAGAAACAAATTGAAGTAAATTCCCAATTTTTATCACTTTTCTTTTTCCAATTCAAAGCCCTACAAAATCCTCACCCCAAAATCCCACCAGCCCATGCAACAATTAAGTTCGGAAAACATAAAGATGCAAAATTTTAAACCTCAAACGATGCATGAAAGCGAAATTGGAAGAGAAGAAACTTACAGATTCAAAAGTTAGAAGATAAGAAGAACAAAACTTCACTCTCTGCGTGTGTTTCTCTATCTGCCACTCTTAGTAACTAAGTGAGAGTTGGGTTATTTTCCTATCTTAATAGTTCAGACTTCAAATGCGAATTTTAAATGCTGTTAAATGTTTACGTAAGAAGTATAAGCTTAAGCATCCCTTAGTTACTATATCTCTTGTCATACTATCTTAGGTAGCATTCGAACTAACAATTAGATGTGTAAATTTAGTTTTTATTTTATTTAAATAACTCATTATATTTTAAAAATAATGTATTAATGAAGGTATTTTTAATACTCTTCTTGACTGTGAAGGATCTTTAATATAGTGACTAATCATTAAAAGATAAATAATTGACATAAAAACAAAAATGTTAATTTTATATTTTATATTTAAATTTGAATAAGTCATAAAGTTTTGTTTAAAAATATAATAAATATTATTTTTAAAAAAAAATTATTATTTGTATATTTTTAAATCAACTATAAGAATAAAAATAAATAAAGTAGTTTCAAAAATACAGAAAATTATCAAATTTTCACTAGTATCGAGAAATATCTTTACATTTAATTTTGTATTATAGTTGTTCGGGATTAATCATATTTTGATATATAAAAAGGATAATCAGGACATTAGATGAAACATTAGTGATACTTGCACAAAATTAAGAAACCTTCCGTTTTCACTTTTTAAAAAGTGATTTAAAAAATGGATTAAAATATTATTTTTGTTTCAATAGTTTATAAAAATTAAAAGTTGTATTTTATTTATTTATTTTTTTACAATTATATTTTTCTTAAAATTTATGGATCATTATTAAGACTTTAAAGTTCAAAGATAATATTTTATATATCATAATAGTATGTTAATATTGATGCTTTTTTATTTTAAAAAATATATAATAAAATATAATATAATTTTAATTTTATATTCCATTAATTCTATGATTTAACTACATTTAATTTTAAAAATTAATATATTTTAGTTATGCATTAAGTTGACATGGTCTTATTTTATTTTCAATATTATTGTATCATAATTAAGTTAATTTTGAGTAATATTATAGTTTCTATTCTTATGCCTTTGTTTTATCTCCAACCAAACACAAGCCAGCAAAAACTCAACATGCCAAATTTGACACTAAATTTATTAAAAAAAACACTTTTTTTTTCTCCAAGGGCGTGTAAATATTTTTCCAAGTATCAAACCCAGAGAGAGATTTAAGAGGCTGTGTATCAGTGACCTAGTTTGTGTGAGCGGGGGAGAGGAGGGTGAAACACCTCACGTTCTCACTAGGATTTTTATTTTTTTAGGTAGAATTTTTTATTTTTATAAAATTTTTATAATTTAATATTATATATATTATTTTATAAAAATATTTTAATATTTAATAAAAATATATTAATACTTTCTTATAATTTCAATAATAACAAATATTAATTTTAAAAAAGTTATATGAAAGTTAATATATAATCTTTTTACATTAATTATAAAATAATAAGTAAATTATGTAATAAATTTAAATTATTATTTAACTTAAAACCAATTAATAACTTTTGTTAATATATAATATTTTTAATTTAAAATTTTCTTAATAAGTAAAAAATATTTAGTAAAATATCGCAGGTAATAAGAAAAATTTTAGTAGTGATCGGATAAATCATATCATGTTTACTAGATTAATATAATTATATTTAAAACAATTGTAATTATTTTTTAAGAGTATATTTACTAATTTTTATTTGAATATTTACAAAATAATAAAACAATATAATAACTAATTATTTAATAATTTTAGGTTTAAATATGTTTTGACTACCTCCAAATATGGCAATATTCAAAAAACTACCTCAAATTTTTTTTTTTCATTTTAATGCCCAACTAATTTTTTTTTCAAATTTATACCTGACGTTAACCTCTGTCAGTTAATTGATGATGTGGCTAACAGTTTGTTGGTGACGTGGCTAACATTTGAATATCTCTCATCAACATAACCCTAAACTACCATATCTGATTACATGTCAGCAATTTTAAATTTAGAAAAAGAAAAAAATTAGAAAATAGAAATTTAAGCGCGCAGTTGGGTCTTGGGAAGTTACTCAATCTTGAACACTCAGAGCAATATTTTGAAATAGAAAGCAAAGAATCCTTGAAGCCGTTGAATACAGAGTGATTGTAAGAAGCACACGTAGTGTGTTTCGCATCTTCATCTTCACCTTTGCTGTTTATTGTTTTCGAAACAAACAAACATCTGCCTTATTGTTTTTTCCTTGTTTCTCAAGCACCGTGGTTGTTACCAGAGGCGACGTTGTGGACATTGTTGAAGGTAAGTGTTATTTAATTAGAGTATTGCGGGTTAGGGTTTTCTTTCATAAATTTGTGCTTTAACTGACACGAAAATTTGTTCTTTTTCGTATGTAGATGACTTTTAATGCTATAATTCATCATGGGGGTCGTTTTGAACTGGACCCTGTGATGCACTATGTTGGGGGCAAAAAGGCTGTTCTTGTGAAAAATATTGATATGGACAGGTGATCGTACTTTGAAGCAATTGGAATTTTAAGAGAAGAGTTAGGTTACGGAGAGCACCCTGTGAGGATATTGTGGAAATTTGGTCCTTCTGACTTCAAGGAAATCAACTGTGATAGTGTAGCCCTGGACATGGCTAATTTTTCCATTTGTAATAATGTGGAGGTTGAAATATATGCTGTTTGTGAAGGAGGCAATGAGGGTGTTGTTGGGGACAATTTTTTCAGTAGTGAGGAGGAATCTCTCAACGAAATTCATTTAGATGAAAGTGAGGAGGATAGGGCTGGTGACATTGATGATGGATTTGACAAAGATGTTCTAGAATTTGGGCGAGTAAAAGGAAGAAGGAAGAAGTCATTTGCAAAGAAAGTGAATGAAGATGTTGAGGCTAAGGAGGTAGATGTTGGTTAGAGTGTTCATCAGCCTGAAAATCCCAATGTTCATGTAGAGGTTGTCTAGATTTCTGGAGATGAAAATTCTGTTGAAAAATCAACCCCTGAAGGAGACTTACCAAGTGCGCTTCAGAGTGATGGTCAGTCTAGAAGAAGAGTGGCTGTTGGTGGTGGTGTTGCAGGTGTTGGGGGTGGGGCTATTGCTATTGGTGGTGGGGATGCT